AAAAGGAATAATTGTGTTCCAGAACAGACAAAACAGACACAGAAGGTGACAAAGATAAGTGACAAAAGATGCCTTCTCACAACCAGTGCACCTTTTTTTATTCAGTACTGGATATTGATTGAACTCAGAGAAGCTATACCACTGAGCTACATCCCCAGCCCTTTTTCTTTTTCATGAAAAACGGTGCTTTAGCTTGGTGTGGTGGCACACGCCTGTAATCCAAGCAATTAGGGCGGCTGAGGCTGAAGGATCGCAAGTTGGAGGCCCGTCTTAGCAATTTAGGGAAGATTGTCCCAAAATAAAAAGGGCCTGAGGATGGAGCTCCGTGGCGAGGCCCCGCTAGGTTCATCCTCCAGTATCCAGAACGTGTCAATAAATATGTTTAGCCCTGAGCTACCTGGTCAGACAAATCACACCCGGGGTCCGGAAGGAAGACAGTCGCGGCTGAGGTCACCAGTGACCTCGCATGGTCTGGGCGTCGGGGGTGCGGGGTAGGGCTCCTCGGGAGGGCCAGCTGCACTTTCCCGGTGTCCCAGCAGGGGGCGGGCGACTCGCCGGAGCCCCGAGCCCTGGCCACGCCGCTCGTCCGGGGCCGGGGTGCGCCCAGCGCAGGGTCGGGGTCTCTCGCAGGGACACTGGAGCACCGCCAGGTTCAGCCCAGCCGTCCGCCTTCCTCGAGTGGGGCCTCCAAAAGTCGGCCTTCGAGTTCTGTCCACCTGCAGTGCCATCCCCACCTCGGTCCCTACCGACAGAACTGTCCCCTTCCCCAATCCCGCTACAGTCCCTGTCCCCCGGCCGCGTCCCCCAGACCCCTCCTTTCCTTCACCCCAGCCTCACGATCAAAGCGTGAGATCCAACCGGAGGGACGGGGGGCAGCGAGGGAGACGGGACAGACCAGGGGACCGGGGCTGGACAGGCCTCCTCCAGCCGAAAAGGGTGGGCGGGCGGGAGGTGGAGCCCAGAGGAGCCGCCGCCCCACTTTCCCGGAGCTGGGGCGGAGAGGCAGGAAAACTTCCTGGCCGGGGCTCGGGACGCTGGGTCGCCAGCCCCGCAGTCCCGCCTCCCGGTGCCACCCCTCCCCCGCGCCCCCCAGTGTCCGCCATGGCCAAAGCCTACGACCACCTCTTCAAGCTGCTGCTGATCGGGGACTCGGGGGTGGGCAAGACCTGTCTGATCATTCGCTTTGCAGAAGACAACTTCAACAGCACTTACATCTCCACCATCGGTGAGCCCGCCGCCGCTCCCAGGCCCCGACGCCCCTGCGCCCTCGTTTGCGGGCGCCTGGACCAGTGACCCTCCTTTGCAGTCGCCTGAGTCGCCTTTAGGGCTCCTAAACTCCAGTCCCTCCACCCCTGTCTCAGACCCATCCCCCATACAGCTGGGCACTCAGACCTCCAACCTCTCTGAGGCCTCCAGGTGACGCTGAGGCCAGCCAACCCTTGACTGTCTTTCTGGTCTCCCCAAATTCACAGGAGTCTTTCTCTTGGCCCTCTAGCTCCTCTTCCCCAAACCCTATCCACATAGGACTCTTCCTGATTCCCTGTCCACCCTTCCTGACTTCTGTCTCTTTCTGTCCCACTGACCCTCCAGGCTCTCTCCTGGCACCCCACCTTACCATCCCTTCCCCAGTCTCCCTCCCCTCAGCTTAACAGAGGATTCGATGGAGGGGACGGGCGACTGGGTGTGCTCAAAGACTGCCTGATGAGGAAGGTGGGAATGAGGGGACTTCTGGGGTCTCTGAGTCAGCCTGTTGAATCATCTGCTCCCCGGGGGCCCCCAGCAGCCTAGGGGGAGGTGCCCAAGTTTCTGCTAAAAAGAACATTGTCTCCTTTCCTCCCTTCGCCTTTCTTCATGTCCTCTGGCCTGGGAAATAAGTCAGAGAGAGTCTCAGGACAATTTTGGTTACAAAGGCAAAATGCCCCTCTGTCCTCCCTCAGTCTCAGGAGGAATCCTGTGTGAGTCTCCGACTGTCTTAGTTCCAAGCTTGGCCCACCAGTTAATTCTCATGGACTAATGTCAACTACCTTTTCCCTTACTCTGTACCCTAAAGTGCCAGGAGGATGGTGGAATATGATAGTAGAAGGGCCTAGGGAGGCTGAGGCAGGAGGGTCACGAGTTCAAAGCCAGCCTCAGCAATTTAGCGAGGCCCTAAGCAGCTCAGTGAGACCCTGTCTCTAAATAAAATATTAAAAAGGGCTGGGGATGTGGCTAGGTGATTAAGCACCCCTGCATTCAATCCCCAGTACCAGAAAAAGGAAAAAAAAAAGTAGAGGGGGGTAGCTAAGGAACTGGAAAGAGGAATGTGAAAATAGTGGGAGGAAACAGAAACTTAAGTGGAAGAGTTGTCAGCTGGGGTGGCCTGAAGCCCTCTGCAGAATTTTCAAAACCTCCTCCATAAAATCTAATTAAAACAGTATACTCACTATACAAATGCAGCTTTGGGGGAATGCTCCTAGTTCTGTACTTCCAAGAGGTTGCTTGCCCCAGCGCTGCCTGCGCTCTTTCCCGGGTCTCCACACATCCCTGTGGATGCACAGGCATCCACCCACTCTCTGCTTCAGCGCACAACTTCTGCCCACAGGGATTGACTTCAAGATCCGCACTGTGGAAATCGAGGGGAAGAAGATCAAACTGCAGGTCTGGTGAGTGGATCCCCCAGGACACCTAACTAGACCTCCCGTTTGTCTCCTGGGACTCTTTCCTCCTGTTTGCTTCAGTTCTCTCCCTTTCCCTGCTGTTTCTTCTACCATTTCTCCTAATTTATGTATCTTGCTTATTCAGCTGTCCTTCCATCTCTTCCTGCTCTGATCCTTTTCGGCCCGTAACTCTCACTTCCCCCAGGTCCGGAGCATTCTCTGCTGTTCTGTTTTTTGGTTTTTCTTCCTTTCAGTACTGGATTGACCCAGGAGTGCTTTCCCACTGATACCACTGACCCACATCCCCAGCCCTTTTTATTTTTCATTTTGAGACAGGGTCTCCCTAAGTTGCTGAGGCTGGCCTCAAACTTGGGATCCTCCTGCCTCGGCTAGAGGATTTTTTTTTTTTTTTTTTTTAATCTTAAAGAGCAGATCAAGAGCTGGGATGTAACTCTGGTGAAGTCCTTACTTCACATGCAGGAAGTCCCCTGCTCAAAAAAAAAAAAAAAAAAGACAGACGGCTGTTAAGAAATGGTAGGCACCCAAGAAACAAGATCTCTTGTTTACTCATTGAATGCTTCCTCTATGCTAAGCGCTAAGTATCATTTTATGTTTTATGTGTATGTATCATTTTCTCTAATCCTCACTCTTTGTGAGACATATTTTATTGTCCCCATTTTACAAATGAGGAAACAGATTTGGAGAGGCTGGAACTAATGAAGGTCAAACGGAAAAGGTGAGTAACGGAAAGGCAAAGACTCACAGACAGGATCTTGCTAAATTGCTGAGGCTGGCCTTGAACTTGTGATCCTTCTTCCCCAGCCCCCTGAGTCACTGGAATTATAGGCGTGGGCCACTGTGCCCAGCTAATCTATTCTTTTTAGCCCCACCATGTTGTAGAAGCTAATTTCTCTGGTGGGAAGGAGTCTTCTAGGGGGAGACTCCTTCTGTCCCACCCATGAAATCTTCTCGTTCTTCAGGGACACAGCTGGCCAAGAGCGATTCAAGACAATAACTACTGCCTATTACCGTGGGGCCATGGTATGATGTGTGGTTCTGGACAAGGGCGTGAGACAAGAGAATATAGGTTTATGAGAACAGAGGGCCAGGGGTTGGGGCAGGGGAAAGTGGGGCACGCAGTGTGGGCCACAAACTGCCCCACATGACCAAGAGTTTAGACTCGTGGATGGGACTTCTGGGGTCATTTAGAGGGTGCTGGGGAGCCTACATGGGAATATGGTCCAGGGTGAACTTTGTCGCCCCCAGGGTATTATCCTAGTGTATGACATCACTGATGAGAAATCCTTTGAAAATATTCAGAACTGGATGAAAAGCATCAAAGAAGTAAGAACCCTCCAGATGAGATGGGGGAAGTGGGTAGATCATGGAGGACGAAGGGGCTGTGTGGATAGGCAGGGCCACTGTCACTGGTCTTACACTTCTGCCCCTAGAATGCCTCAGCTGGAGTGGAGCGACTCTTGCTGGGGAACAAGTGTGACATGGAGGCTAAGAGGAAAGTGCAGAAGGAGCAGGCCGATAAGGTGAGGGCCAGGCTGGGCCGGGTTCTACAACTGCGTCCTGAACACATGAACACTTCGCGAGGCCCGATTGCAGGGGGCTTGGCTGCAGCCCCTTTTCTCCAGCTTTCTCCTTCTCGTTTCACCCTACAGTTGGCTCGAGAGCACGGAATCCGATTTTTTGAGACAAGTGCCAAATCCAGTATGAATGTGGATGAGGTGAGACCTGCCCCCCACCTCCTCAGCCACCACCAAGACATGGAATCTTGAAAGGTAGACGCATCCCCGCTCCAGCCTGTTCTGACCAATCTCCCCTTTAGGCTTTCAGTTCCCTGGCTCGGGACATCTTACTCAAGTCTGGAGGCCGGAGATTGGTGAGTTGGATCTGCTGGCTGGGTCCCACTGGCCGCGTGTGTCTTGGGAGGGGAGAAAGAAAGCTTCCGTTTACTCATAGGCCAGCCAGCCCTCCCGTCCTGACCCGTGCATCCTTCTCCCTCCAGGGGAACCATCACAAGCCCCCCAGCACTGACCTGAAGACCTGCGACAAGAAGAACACCAGCAAGTGCTCCCTGGGCTGAGGACCCCCTGCGGCCTTCCCACCCTGAGCCTGGAGGTGGAGCCGGCCGGCCGGGGGAGCCAGGGCTGAGGGACTGCACAGGGAGGGGCCAGCGGTGCCTGAGAGGCGGGTTGGTGGTGAGGAGCCGAGGAGAAGACAGAGAAGAGAAAGAAGGAAACCAGGGGACTGGAGAAGTGTAGGAAGGAACAGAGGAAGTGAAGGAAGGTGAGGGGGAGGATGAGAGGGAGGAGGAAGGGTAGGACGGATAGCCTCAGGCCGTGGACTTTCTCTGGATTTTTAGGTCACGAATATATGTAAATATACTGATTTATTTTGATACTCGATCAGGTTTTTGAGTCCTGGGAGAGGCTGGCTCAGCCCCACTCTCTGAAGGTTTGTCACGCTGCATGGTCTTCCTCTGTATTAAAGGCCATTCTTTGCACAACTGTCCCCGTTTGGGAAACTTTCATTGTTGTCACTCAAACCCAGGTCTTACCTCTCCCGTGTTGGTCCCCTGGAGTCTGGTTGGGTGCATTGTCTCTCCCTTTCCCAGATGTTTGACTGCTGAGGAAGACAGCCGGAGCAGGAAGCAGAGTGACCTGAGGGACTGAACCCCCTCTTTCCATTGTGGGGTTTCAGGACTAAGGATCACTATGCTCATAGCCTTGTCCTTTGCACAGAAATTCCAAGAGAGGACTTGATGAGCCCTATCATCAGGGACACAACAGGACCTGGGATGGCTTAGCAGTGATTAAGCTTCTTCGGCACCCACCCGCCTTTTCTTTTTGAGGGGCCTGAACTCAGGGCCTTGATTGTGCTAGACAAATGCTCGGCCACTGAGCTAAATCCCCAGCCTCCATGCTTCTTTGATTTTGCCAGAAATCTGTTTAGGTGTTTGGTAGGCATTATTAGCTGCTCTTATAGGGGAGGAAAATGAGACACAGGAGAGGTTTATGTATCCATAAACATTTATTGAGCGTCTATGTTTCAGGTACACAGTCAGTTAACGTAGCTCTCGGGTGGTGTTTTTTTTGTTTTTGTTTTTCTTTTGGTACCAGGGATTCAACCCAGGGCACTTAACCACTGAGCCACATCCCCAGCCCTTTTACTCAGAGCCTCACTAACTTGCTGAGGCTGACTTTGAACTTGTGATCTTCTGGCCTCAGCCTCTGGAGTTGCTGGGATTACAGGCATGCACCACCACTACCAGCCCTTAGGTGGTTCTTACAGGCAGAGAAATAAGCAAATTTTAATAAAAACAGTTAACTCTTGGGGACTGAGGGAGAGACACATGCCAAAATTATCAGCATGCAAAAGAAAAACCACCAAAAAATTCAGGCTTGATATAATGCCCCCTTAAGTACACATAGCCGCCCTCCCTTTCGATGATACTGGGGATTGAACCCAGGGGCACTCAACCCCTGAGCTATATCCTCAGCCATTTTTAGTTTGGATTTTGAGACAGGGTCTAGATAAATTGTTCAGACTAGCCTTGAACAACTCCTGCTCCAGCCTCCCAAGTAGGAATCACAAGTGTGCACCACCATGCCCAGCTCAACATTTTTTAAAACAGCAGATTTTTTTTTTTTTTTTGGTAGTGGGGATTGAACCCAGTGGTGCTTAACCACTGGGACACATCCTCAGCCCTTTTTACTTTTTTTTTTTTTTTTTTTTTTTTTTTTTTTTTAAAGAGAGAATTTTTAACATTTATTTATTTTTTCTTAGTTCTCGGCAGACACAACATCTTTGTTGGTATGTGGTGCTGCTGAGGATCGAACCCGGGCCGCACGCATGCTAGGCGAGCGCGCTACCGCTTGAGCCACATCCCCAGCCCTTACTTTTTTATTATTATTTTTTTTTTATTTTGAGACAGGATCTCACTGAGTTGCTTAGAGCCTTGCTAAATTGCTGAGGCTGGATTTGAATTTGCAACCTTGTAATCCCATGGCCTCCTGAGCCCCTGGGATTACACCCACTGCACCTGGCTTGATATTTTTCCTTTCCTTTTCTTCCTTCCTTCCTTCCTTCCTTCTTCCCTCCCTCCCTTTCCTCTCCTCTCCCTTTCTTGCTTCCTTCCTTCCTTGCTTTCTTTTCTTTCTTTCTTTGCTGGTGATGGAACCCAGGGCCCTCTAAGTGCCGGGAAGCGGCTCTACCACTGAACAACACCTCCAGCTCTGGACCTTCATCTTTTATTAAGATCAATGAAAATGTCACATTTGCTTTGAACAAAATAAATGTACCACTTGAAGTGTTATTCAAGTGTTATTCAAGCTGTTGAGACTGACGGCTTCATCATACCCCAAAGCAGATATTTAAAAATTCACTTTCAGAGCAGATATCCAATTTGGTTGGTTTCTTTTCTTTTTTAGATAAATTTTTTGGTACTGTGGATTGAACTCAGGGGCACTCAAGTGCTGAGCCACATCCCCAGCCCTATTTTGTATCTTATTTAGAGACAGGGTCTCACTGAGTTGCTTAGTGCTTCTCCATTGCTGAGGCTGGCTTTGAACTCTCAATCCTCCTGCCTCAGCCTCCTAAGCTGCTGGGATTACAGCATGCACCACCATGCCTGGCCCAAGTTGGTTTCTTCTAAGTTTATTGGAAGTGAAATCTTATAAGATCACAGGGTTTACCCAGGCTTAGTGGTACACGCCTATAATACCAGAGACAGGACAGCAAGTTTGAGGCCAGCCTAAGCCCTAAGCAATTTAGCAAGACCCCACCTCAAAAAATAAATAAGTAAATCAGGTGGGGGATGTTGCTCAGTGGTAAAGTACCTCTGGGTTCAATTCCCAGTACAAAAGAAAAAAAAAAATCACACAGAACAACTTTCCATGAGATAATTTCCATGAGATAAAGTAGATGTAAGATTACAGTAAGGAATAACAAATGCCAGCATAGTGGGCCCACTGACTCTGGAGGCTGAGGCAGGAGGGTTATAAGTTCAAGGCCAGCCTCAGCAATTTAGTAAGATCCTATCTCAAAAAATAAAGAGGGTTGGGGATGTACCTCATGGATAAAGTACCCCTGGGTTCAATCCCCAGTACTGAGAAAATTAAAAAAAAAAAACAAAACTCTATCATACCTAAAAACCAGGGGGAAAAAGCCACAACCAATTTTCTGTAACGTATAAACATGAGACATGGGGCGTGATTATTACAGATCAAGGTAGCCATGGCAGTCCTTGGTTACCAGGTCTTGTGATCATGCTGGAAAATTTTCAGATATGTTGCTAAGAGTACCTGGTATGAGAAGGGATAGGAAAAAGTGGAAAGGGGACACTTTTGATAGATAGAGAGAGAGAGAGAGAGAGAGTCCTCAGGAAAGAGAAGAATGGTGCACCCCTCCTGCCCTATACTTTTATTGGAGGTCTCACAGAAGTCTCCAGAGAGCTCTGCCCAGGTCTACCTCTTGACTTTTGACTGACAGCAGGATTGCATCAGACTTCCAAGTCCCCACTGTGCATGCTAAGAGAGTCAAGGTAGGGCTGGGGCTGGGGCTCAGTGGGAGCCCTGGGTTGTATGAGACACTGGGTTCCATTCTCAGCACTATGTATAAATAAAATGAAGGTCTATCAACAACTTAAAAAAAAAAAAAGATTCAAGGTAACTCCTGGTCACTTTGGCCCACACTGGTTCTAATTGGAACTTAGATCTTACAGTTAGGGACTTTCTTCTATCATATATCCCTGAGTTCTAGAATCTAGTCTGTGTAAAGGTCACAAAAGCCCCTTCTCCTTCAGGGTAACTTGTGTTCTTATCAAGGAGGAAGGAGCATTTGGGGCCTGCATTTCTTCTGCATAATAGGTTGTTTGCTGAGGATATTTAGCATATCCTATTGACTTAAGTCAGGGAGGGCTGTGGGTAAATTGTTTTAAAAGAAAGCAAGTGGAGGTCAGCGTAGTGGGCCCTGTTTGTAGAATTACCTGCTTAATGTTATGTTACTACTGTTTGTGTTATATGCTGTCTATCATTGGCTTGCACCTGTAACCCCAGAGACTCTGGAGGATCTCAAGTTCGAGGCCAGCCTCAGCAATTTACTAGGATCCTCAGTAACTTAGTAAGATCTTGTCTCAAAATAAAAAATGAAAAGAAATGGGGATGTAGGTCAGTGGTAAAGTGCCCTTGGGTTTTTTTTTTTTTTTAAAGAAAGAGTTTTTAATATTTATTTTTTAGTTTTCGGCAGACACAA